CCCTGTCAGAGGAATCCCTTGTCAAGGAATCCCTTCCTGATTTCTATTCCAGAAAACTTCATAAGCCCTTATTAGGGGAATCATTCACTGAGGTACAGCCTCAGCTCAGATTCTCCCTTTTAACTTTTACTTCCACTCAGTTCCATCTGTCAGTTTCAAAGAAGGGGGAGAGGGGCACAGGAAGAGTTTAAGTATCCTTTTCCTCCCCAACAACTGTATAAAAATTGAAATCACATTTTTCCAAATCCTTCTTACGCTTATGATAAAGACTGGGTGTTTTACAAGTTATACAGTCACCCCAGATTTAAGCTGTGTGTAGGATAAGTAACCAAAACTGTCAGTCCAGTATGTAATTTCTTCTATACCAGCCAAATGGGCCTGCCAGTTATTTTGCTTATTCCAACTGGGCTAAAAAGGTATCCAAAACCTTGACTACTGTAAAAACCGGTAAATTTTCTTCACTAATCCACATTCTTATTCAAGATGTGTTCACTTAATACCTACAAGGCAAAACAATGCCTACATACAATGCACTAACATTCCAAAAAATGCAAATGTGGCTCCTGCCCCTAAAATTAACGTCTGTGAGAAAGTCACACATCCAAAAGCTACAAGCATAAACGAAGAACGTGGGCATAGAGACTACTATTTGTATCCTTTCATGGGTATCTCACTTGACATCTGACACAGCAATCCCTGAAATAATAATCTCCATTTTTATCTGTTTTCTCCATTAACAAGTCAGCATATAAACGCTGGATCTTCTGAGCTTTGATTGTGCCACACTCTAAAATGTATATTACATTTAAATGAAGGGAACAAAATCACAATAACTACTTTAAAGACTAAATATACACACAGGAAGGAAACTTAAAGATGGGTTTCCTCACCTATAAAATAAGAAGGGTGGACTAGATCACAGACGGTTAAATAATGAGCATTCCAGGAAACACTCTATTGCCACTCTCTGGGACCCTCATCCCAATTAAACATTACTAATCATGGCACTTTCTCACCAAACCCAGAAATGCAGCTATGTCCTTATCAACATGGCAGCCACTACCAATTGGGAGTAGATAAGCAAAACATAACCTGCTTGTGGGACTTCCTTGGTGGCGCAGCGGTTAAGAATCCTCCTGCCAACGCAGGGGACACAGGTTCAAGCCCTGGTCCGGAAAGATCCCACATGCCACGAAGCAACTAAGCCCGTGCACCTCAACTACTGAGCCTGCACTCTAGAGCCGGCGAGCCACAACTACTGAGCTCGCGTGCCTAGAGCCCATGCTCCACAGCAAGAGAAGCCACTGCAATGAGAAGCACATGCACCGCACCGCAGCTAGAGAAAGCCCGCGTGGTAACAAAGACCCAACGCAGCCAAAAATTAATTAATTAATTAATTTAAAAAAAAAAAAAAAAACCTTCTTGCCACACTTGGACTGGATGAGGTGACGCTAACTACCCAAAAGATTTATATAACTAGTCTAAAACAGAACTAAGCCCTAAAAGAAGTAATATAATTGTATAATGCTTACAAGTACACAATACACACTCTCTTCCATTATCATTTGATCCTTAATACCCAGCAAAGAATTATCCCTATTTTTACATATTTTAAAATACAGATCAGTGAAATAATGTGATCAGCTCAAGGTCATCCAGCTAATAGATGGCTTGGATGAATCCTCACAACTCCACAACACCTTTTTCCATGAGAAAGTCACAGAATAGTGAGTGGAAGCCTGGACTATTTTAATATGGACCTAAGAATGTCAATCCAAAATCTTCTGAGCTCTTCTTAGCCACTAGGCTACATGCAACCTCTTTCTATCAAAACAAGATCTTGAGTAACTAACCAACTAAGTAAAAATGTAATCATTTAAAGGCATACACTATATTAATATTATATATATACACCTACCTCAATCATAAATCTTATACTTTTGAAACATTACATAAATGAACAATAAGAACAGAACCAAAAAGTTGGAATGTTACACTAACAAAAGTACCAGTTTTTTGGGTCTCAACCCTTTCACTGTCTTATGTAAGAAGTACACTTTCTCATTTCTTAAATTCTTATCTGTAAGCAAAACATTAACAAGTAATTCTATATACAGCTTTTTACAAGTACAGAATGCCGTTAAGATTGTTTCACGAATGTAAAGTATTATTCTGTTTCCTTCTGTATAGGAATTATTACATTATACCACAATGAGCGTGCTATTCCTGAAATCAGTCATTTGAAAGATCTTATCACAAATGCCTAAACTGCCAACATATTTAGCATATCCTCTCTTCAGAATTCTGACCAACTTAAATGGAAATTCCTACTCATGCACTCCTATTTCCGGATGGCCTTTAAAACATCAGAACTACTCCTTAATATAAATAAGAGAGACTCGACTTAATAGCATAACATTTATCTCTTACCATACTTGAAAGCATCATTTGGACTAAGTCAAATATGAATATAACCTGAAGAGCCCTTTCTTAAGCACCAAAATATCCCAGAGCTTTTTGCAGCCAGCACAAGAACCTTTTACTTTCATACCACACCATCCTGCTTTTACAGGTATCTAAGGAAATGTGTATATATGAGTTGTACAAACCACCTACCAAATAATCCAATGCCTTCCAAAGTGAAAAGCTGATCCTCTTTTCTGCTCTTAAATTATTCACAATTAGTCTACAAAGAATTACTGTAGACTACCTGAACAAACTTTTCTGACCTGTGTACCATGTTCTATATTTATGCTACTGAAAAGAATCAGTGATTCATCCCTCTCTACATTTAATAAGGAATAGAGCAGGAAAACAGCTTAAAAATTACAAGTTTCTTTTTATAAGAAAAGGAACTTTTAAGTGAAGACAATTTACTGTTGACAGACTCACAACTATACATGATAGTGATCAAACTCACTGAATACTATATTTATGCTACTGAAAAGAATCAGTGATTCATCCCTCTCTACATTTAATAAGGAATAGAGCAGGAAAACAGCTTAAAAATTACAAGTTTCTTTTTATAAGAAAAGGAACTTTTAAGTGAAGACAATTTACTGTTGACAGACTCACAACTATACATGATAGTGATCAAACTTCACTGAATACTTTTAACTTTTTTTTTTTTTTTTGGTTCACAACCTCTGAGTATGACAACTTCACGATCATTTTATTTTAAAATATCCCACTTTCATTGTTTTACATTTCTCAAAGTTGAGAAAATTTTACCCAAAGTTTGGAAAAATTTGATAAATTCTTGTCTGCAAGACCCCTATAAGCATTAAATCTTTAAAGCAGAGATCAACAATATGTTGTATTACAAGATGTTAACATTATGGATGTTTTATTATAGTTCCTGAGTCTTCAAGGACATCAGTAACTTGATAAAAAAAAAAACCACGCTCAAATGCATGACTCGCATTTTTCAAGCCACATTTTATGAAGATTATGTTTTTTGGTTTGTATGCCGTAATTACATTTTGAACTGATCCATTATATCTGAAAATAACTTGCATGTGAAATCACTAAGGAAAAGGGTCACTTAGAAACACAGCATTAAAAACAAATTTTAAAGCCTTCAAATAAAGGTCTATAAGTTGGAATTAAAGAAAAACATAATTCAAATTCACAGTAAGCTGAAGTGAAAACAACACAGCTTATACCACAAAATATATATATATATAAACAAAGTGGTAGTGTTCAACCCTGACAGAAAAAAAAAAAGTTTAAAATGAAAACTACTTAAATTGAGAAAGAATTCCAATGACATGACATTTTCTTGCCAAAACGCAGGAATGTGTAGATTATATCATTCAAATCTCATTGTATTACATTATAAAGGTCTTGGCAACGGTTAGCCATTAATCTTTTAACACAAAGGAGATTCAAATCCAAATGAACTGTAAGACTATCTCTTCCAGAAGACAGAAATGGAGTAATTTACTTTATCCACAACTGTTTAACCTAAAAGGAAGGCCGAAAGGATGATAACGCAGAATGGATCAGCCTTCAGTCTACCAAGTCCCATTTCTCACGAAGTCTTGCACCAATCCGAAAAGAGAAGGTTAGGGACACAAAACAAGCTTAGGAAAGACTGAAAAAGATCTCCAACGAATGACACACCACATCATGGTTTATTCTCTTACACAATTGGAGAAACAAAAACGAAAAACATCACACCATATGTTTCATCGTATCAATTAAAAAAATATTTTACGACCGTACCTTCAATTCTTTGGGGCTGAAAAAATAATTTAGCTTCTGTTTTATTGATTACAGAGGAAAAGGAAAAAGCAGCTGCTGCAATGCAACACAGGCTGCTACAGAGGAAGGAGAGAAAACGGTTTTCCAAACAAATCCCTCTCCCGCCCCCGTTTACACACCCCAAACAACTTATCCCAGTCTTTCACTGTGTCCCCCCAAATATAAACCTAATAAATTCTTTCCCTTCCCCCACCATCGTGAAATTTCACCTTTCAGAGCTTTCACCTATCGCTACCAGAGCACTTTATTCCCCGCAGAAATTTCACATCTTTCAAACTTTTCTCCCTTTTTAAATTAAACACGAGAGTTTTGTTATAAAAGTGCACTACATTTTTACATACAGACGGAAAAATACCTGTTTCCCAGCAACATGCACGCTTCGATTCTCGAACCCCTCCCCATCTCCCAGGTTTGGCTTGCAAGGCTGGCGCGGGGGGGGGAGCCAGGAGCAAATTAAATTTAGGAAGGGAAATCCTGGGCGAAAGAGGAGCATTTGAGGCAAAACGGGACAACGTCGAAAAGAGGACGCCCCCCCGCCCCCAATAAGAGGGTTGGGGAGGATTACAAGAAAGAAAGAGAAATGAGAAGGGACAAAGGGGGAGGGGGGGGAGAAAGAGACCAGAGACCGAGGGAGACGCGCCGGGCCGGGAGAGGAAAGGCGGGGTCCGGGGAGAGCTGGGTCGCGGCTCCCGTGGCACAATGGCCCGCCGGCCCCCGCCCCGCGCGCCCCTCACCTCATGGTGTCGGCCGCGCCGAGGCTTCCCCAGCAGCCGGGAGACGCGGGAGGCGCCGAGCCGAGGGGGGTCTCTCCTCCAGGGGCGGGAACACAGCTCGGGGCCGGGAAACAAGTGTCCAGCTTCTCCTTCGGGCGGCCGCGGGGCTACACCATCTCCTCGCACAAAGCCGAGGCGCCGGCCCGGAGTGGGAGAGAAGAGGGCGAAAGAAAAGCTGGGGAGGGGGCGGAGAGGCCGAGGCGCCGAGCGGGTCCCGCGGCCGCCACAGCTCCCCACCTCCTCCTTCTCCTCCTCCCCCGGGAGCTTCCTCGGCCGCCCTCGGAGGGGTGCCCGCCGGGGCCGCGCGCCCGGCCGCAGCTCCACAGGCCCGCGCTCGCCGCGCCCGCCGCCGAGGCCGTGTGCAAGCGGCAGCTGCGGCAGCCGCGGGAGAAGAGTCGGGATCGCCTCGAGAAGCCCGGGAGGAGGCGGGGCGCGCAGAGGAGGAACACGCAGGCGCCGCCCTCCTCCCCCCCTTCCCCCGGGGACGAGGGGGCGGTGAGGGGGGAGGGGAGGCGGGGGGCCGGGCGTTCCCCTGCCGCCGGCCGGACCCCCCGCGGGACTGCGGAGAGCGGGGAGGGGCGGGAGCGGGCTCGGCGACTACGGGTTAGCAAAGGCTCTTTGTTGCTTTCCCCCGGTCGCCTACCGCTCCCCTGAGACTGGGGGAGCTCCCGGGCCTCCCCCGCGCCGGATTGCGGAGACCGAGGCGCCAGGACCTCCCGGCGCTGGACCTGCGGCCACCGGCTTGGGAAGCCAGGGGGCGGCAACCGGGATGCGTGACTGGGCGCCGGGCCGGGGGACTCCGGATCTGCCCGTCCGGGTACCCTCGTGCGGGGCTTGTCTTCAGCTCGTCCTGTTGCTATCTCAGGACCGGGACCTGCCAGTCGATGGGCAACCCGGCCAGCCCCACGGCCCGCCCCAGCCGCGCGCCGCTCCCCGCGATTCCTCCGGGGTGGGGGGAGGGGTGGCGTATAAATGTAAAATATGGTCATCATTGTTCGCTTCGCTCCTTTTCTTCCCGAGGAATCCCAGTGTGCTGTACCGATTTAACGAGCTGATATGCACACACCAAGTATAGGGATGACTTCATCCCCGAAAGAACGCAGCCAACTCGCGGGGAAACGCAGTCGCCGGGAGACGCGCGCTGCATCGTGTGCAGCAGCGGGAATGGAAGAAGAGAAACGCAGCCCGTGAAACCGCTTTCTATCGTCATTAGCAAAAAGGGAATTCCGGCCGCGGGAGGGGAGGAGAGAGGGGCGGGGGGCCGGGGAGTGATGTCAAATAATGATAGTTTTAAATTTTTCGTCATTCGTTTGGTCTTGAAATCACCTTGAAAAGGTAAACGTAAAATGCTGGCGAAGAAAACATTTAAAGTCAATGGCATGGGGGGCGGAGTCCATCCAGGAAGCCAGGATTTATAGTTGTGGGAGATTTTAGGTATCAAAAAGCAAATCCAAAAATCAAATGAAAACTTAAACTGGACAAATTGCAGGCCTCTTGTAGTCCCGAGGAAGAGTGTATTTTTTAGATGACTAGGATGGATCTAATCCAAAATGGAAGACCTGCCATGACTCCAGGAATCTATTCAGAAGTTTTGGTGTTTTATTTTAAGATGGAGGCACAATTCAAATTATAGTTTTGATAGTTGAGATCATTTACACTTCCAAAAGAAAAGTGAACAAGTTATAGTCATACTTGGTGAATGTCTGACTTGTCTATAATAGAACTGTGTGGCCCAGTTTTAACTATAAAAAGCTTCCCCATTTCAGACTCAATACCAAGTTATTTTCTTTTTGGAACCTGCAGCCTCAAACCAACAGCCTTATATACTCAGTGACCTGGACCTATGGCACAGGAGCAGAGTGGCCTCAAGTAGTCAAAAGGTACAGTGCCTCTGCTTAAACATGGTGTACTTGAACACTAATTTCCACCCACATGTCTAATTACAGCTTACCATCACAGAAGAGCATTTTATTCAAGGATCTCCAAGCACTGGAGAGAAAACAGCCTTGCCAGTCAAATGTCCTTGTTGCCATATTACAAGTAGAGACAGGCAAATAGAGAACACAAGAACTGGATGAGTTTGTGCAATAAGCACAATTAAAAACCATAGCTACTAACTATGAGGTTCATTGCCTTATCATAAATACTCACTGTCATTTATGTAATTAAAACGCATGCACCTCAGATATTCTCCAAATTAGCCAAAGAACATTTGCTGTGGAGGCTTTTTTCTTGGAAAAGTTACAGTAAGATTTATCGAACCATCTTGGAAAAGTATTAAGGCATATTTGACCACAAAGAATTCACACCAATTTGCCTTAGTTCATTCATAGCAATACAGTAAATCCAGCAGAGCTTATGTTTCAGGGAAAACTCTTACAAAGGGCCAAAAGGGGTGGAGATGTTGCTGTAGTGACTCAAACTATCTCCTCTTGCCAGAGACAAGAGGCAAGGATAAAAATGCTTTACAGATGACTCCATAACCTAGTTCTCATTTGTGAAAGTTAATTCATCCTGCACTAAATAAGTGATATATCACATCATCTTTATCCTTACAGCAAATGTTCTGATGGTCTGGGCACCAAATTAAGCAATCCAAGTGGAAAATGCTGTTCTTATTGTCTATGTTTATTAAAAATGTACCAGCCAAGAATTTTGGCCGCCTACAACCATTTCCATCCTTTTGGATGGCAGCCCGCCAGCTCACAAGTTGGTCATACCATTGCCTTTGGATTTAGATATTGCAATGGGTGGCCTGACCTCCAAAGGTCATTCAGTGGAAGGGCAATTTGTTGGCTGTGACAAAATGTTATTGCTTCTTGTTCATATTTGGTTTAACAATAAAAGAGGGCAAAGGGAAACTTGAGCTAAGAAATCACCAACTAATTCTGGTCACAAAGGAAACTTTGTGGAATGTGTTACCGTATAGAATAAAAGAATTTTAGAGATGGAAGGAATCTTAAGTCCAACCCACTCATTTTTCAAAAAAGGAAAGTGAGGCCCAGAGAGGTTAAGTAAATTGCCCACAGTCACACAGTCTCTTTTTGGTGGAACTGGAACTTAAACCCAGGATTTATAATTATGGGTCCATTGCTCCTTCCACCACATCATACTGCCTGCCTATGGCATAAGTAAATGGGTTAGACAGTAAGAATTAAAGTGGATTCTCTTCTCATAAACCCTGCTCTAAAATTAGCCGAGTTTGTGTTGGCTTGGCTGAATGGTGAAAATCACTTGAATTTTTCTCCCACAAGGGCTACCCAGCCTGAAGCCCAATACCAGGCCCTCAGGTAGGCACCCGGATGTTTGGAAGTAAATGAATGGATAAGCGAATGAATGAATGAATGCTCTAATCGAAGAGGAAACTCTTCATCAAAAGAAATACAGTCTAGGGACTTCCCTGGTGGCACAGTGATTAAGAATCCACCTGCCAATTCAGGGGACACGGGTTCAAGCCCTGGTCCAGGAAGATCCCACATGCCACAGAGCAACTAAGCCCGTGCGCCACAACTACTGAGCCTGTGCTCTAGAGCCTGCGAGCCACAATTACTGAAGCCCGCACGCCCTAGAGCCAGTGCTTCTGCAACAGGAGAAGCCAACGCGCTGAGAAGCCCGAGCACCGCAACCAAGAGTGGGCCCCCACTCGCCACAACTAGAGAAAGCCCACGTGCAGCAACAAAGACCCAACACAGCCAAAAATTAATTAATTAATTAACTAAAAAAAGAAAATACAGTCACCTCTTAACACTGAGTACGTGGACCTCAACTTTGGCTCACAGAGCAACACCCCAGCTTAACACCACAATGGGAGGCCTGCTCCAAGCCCTAGGTGTGCACAGCGATCCCAAGTTGTTCTACGCCTCTATTAGCAGTGTGTGTACGATGAAACAAAACATCCTTCTGTTGAAGATGGGTTTGCTGCAGGAGTGTTGTCAGTCTGGCTCTGAGGGTTCTCTCAGAACAGGCCTTGTTGAAATTCATCTGAGAGCATCAGTGTAGGCTTGTCCTCCATTTATGGGCATGAGGAGGATGCATGACTAATGCTGCTCAGCAGTCAGGAAATCATTGCTAAGGATTGTAGGCACAGTCTCCTCCATCACCCAAAAAAGGGTTCTACCCTGAAAATTCAGGAGTTACTTAGGGATGGGTGAGGACAAGAAGATAGTTTGGAGTGAATGTGATTGTATACTTTCTACTTATATGTAACAGTATTGAGTTTTCTTTTGTGGCAATTAGTGTAATTTTTGTTCGTTTTCCCAAGGATGGGAAAAAATAATGTAGAACATGATATTCCAGTAGAATTCAAGATATTTTTATTACTCATCTTTCAGCTTTAGTTGTCCATATATAATCTCGGTTCTAAAATATTATCAGGAGACAGACATTAGAGGAAACTATTTGCCTCTCTGCCATTTGCATTTTTCTTCTATTTGTCATTTTTCTCCCTTCCAAATTAGGATTTATTAAGCTAATTTCATTTCCTCTTCCCCAGAGTCTCTTTCTTTTCTTAGTGCCACAGTGTTTAAACTTGGCAGGAGGTTCCTAAAGCCTGAACAGTATTGGAATAACAATTGGTAGAGGCCATATTCTATAAAATGCAAGGCATTATTTCCACAAAATTCAGCTATGGTTGCCATTTAATGAATATGGCAGGTGGGCTCCATTTCTAGATAACAATCAAATCATGGTGCTTTAAGAACTGGATTGAAAAGAAGCATCACCATAACCCAATTCTGAGCTCTTATCTCTTACTTTATAAAATCTAGCTGATAGCTTGGCAAGAAAAAAATGAGTGGTTGCCTTGTTTCTTGCATTGAATTTATTTACTTGTCCCATTGACTTAATCAAATTTGAGAATATCAATCAATATCCTAGGGACATTATGATTGGGTGACAACTGACCTTGGAGTATTTCCTCAAAGGAGATGAGGAGAAAAGCTAATAAAGAAAAGATTATTTTCTGGCT